GATGTTTTGGGGCTGTCGCTGGGCAACACGGACTTTCAACTCCCTCCCAAGGTTTTCTATGGGGTTGTGATCTGGAGACTGGCTAGGCCACTCTAGGACCTTGAAATGCTTCTTTTGAAGCCACTCCTTCGTTGCTCGGGCACTATGTTTGGGATCATTGTCATGTTGGAAGACCCAGCCACGTTTCATCTTCAATGCCCATGCTGATGGAAGGAGGTTTGCACTCAAAATCTCATGATACATGGCCCCATTCATTCTGTCCTGCACATGGATCAGTCGTCCTGGTCCCTTTGCGGAGAAACAGCCCCAAAGCATGATGCTGCCACCCCCATGCTTCACAGTAGGTATGGTGTTCTATGGATGCAACTCAGCATTCTCTCTCCTCCAAACATGACGAGTTGTGTTTCTACCAAACAGTCATATTTTGGTTTCAACTGACCATATGACATTCTCCCAATCCTCTTCTGGATCATCCAAATGCTCTCTAGCAAACTTCAGACGGGCCCGGATATGTACTGGCTTAAGCAGGGGGACACGTCTGGCACTGCAGGATCTGAGTCCCTGGTGGCGTAGTGTGTTACTGATGGTAGCCTTTGTTACGTTGGTCCCAGCTCTCTGCAGGTCATTCACTAGGTCCCCCCGTGTGGTCCTGGGATTTTTGCTCACCGTTCTTGTGATCATTTTGACCCCACGGGGTGAGATCTTGCGTGGAGCCCTAGATAGAGGGAGATTATCAGTGGTCTTGTATGTCTTCCATTTTCTAATTATTGCTCCCACAGTTGATTTGTTCACACCAAGCTGCTTGCCTATTGCAGATTCAGTCTTCCCAGCCTGGTGCAGGTCTACAATTTTGTTTCTGGTGTCCTTCGACAGCTCTTTGGTCTTCACCATAGTGGAGTTTGGAGTGTGACTGTTTGCACTTGTTATCAGTATAAAAGACACCTGTCCACAACCTCAAACAGGTGCCATTGATACAGGTAATGAGTGCAGGACAGAGGAGCCTCTTAACGAAGAAGGTACAGGTCTGTGAGAGCCAGAAATCTTGCTTGTTTGTAGGTGACCAAATACTTATTTTCCGACATAATTTGCAAATAAATTCTTTCCAAATCAGCCAATGTGATTGTCTGGATTTTTGTTATTTTGTCTCTCATAGTTGAGGTCTACCTATGATGCCAATTACAGGCCTCTCTCATCTTTTTAAGTGGGAGAACTTACACAATTGGTGGCTGACTAAATACTTTTTTGCCCCACTGTATATATTGGTTACATCTTCTTTCTGTAAATATTCGTACTGCACCCTTTTAACCTTTTAGTAATAAATCTTACTTTCTGGAAGTGTTGAATTGTTTCTATAGCTCTTAATTGCAATTTACGAATCCCTGCCTCTAAAAAGAGCGCTACTATGAGTGTTTAACCCTCTGTATAACCGGTCTGTAGAAATAGCGGTCTACTGTCGATTAACCAATCATCCTAGAGCAGGGGTGGGCAAACTTTTTGACTTGAGGGCCGCAATGGGTTCATATATTGGACCCGGGGGCCGGACCAAGAGTAAATGAATGATGTGTATGTGTCATCCATAGTAAGTATAGTAATATTCCCCCATAGTAAGCATAGTAATTCATCCCCAATATAGTAATTCATCCCCCATATAGTAATTCATCCCCCATATAGTAATTCATCCCCCATAGTAATTCACCCCCCCATATAGTAATTCACCCCCCATATAGTAATTCACCCCCCATATTAAGTCCCCCCTGTGTCAATTCACTTACCTTTGCTCCGCGCGTTCCTCTCGCCGTGTTCCCGCACCGTTCCGGTGTAGCATGAAAATCTGTCTCCTATGAGGATCTGTCCCCCTCGACGTATCTGCGCATGTGCCAGTTTCAGGCATTAGCAGCCGATCGGCGATCTCCGGCACATGCGCAGATACGTCGAGGGGGACAGATCCTCATAGGAGACAGATTTTCATGCTACACCGGTCTTCAGGGCGGACTGTGAGAGGAGCCTAGCTCCCCTCGCGTTCGTCACGCTGCCCCGCCTACACACATCCTGACAGCCATCCTGACAGTATCACGCTCCGCGGGCCAGATTAAAAGGTCCGCCGGGCCGTATATGGCCCGCGGGCCGTAGTTTGCCCATTGCTGTCCTAGAGTATTGCTGAGTTTCCTCTTTCTCTGTATAAAAAGGAGGTGGTGGCAGTGTGAAAGGTTAATTGCGTAATTAACCTGACCCAGTAACAAGCGCATTCAGGCTGCCGGTACATCGACTGTGGTCCAAGTAGCTGGAACATCAGTGTGCAGCTGGGTGTGGCATTGTTACGCACATGACAGCACGGTTTTGGATTGGCTAGTCCTTCGGTCACGAGTTTGGTGAGAAGGGCTGGGGTCTGACGCCGCATCCGTCACATATGGAAACACATTCCATGAAGCTTTGCACACATTGTTGTGCTAATCTGAAGGCCACACAAAGTTTGGAGGTCTTTAGCTACTGACTCTGTAGATAGTTGGCAACTTCAACGCTGCAGCATGTGCTGACCCCGCTCTGTCATTTTACGTAGCCTATCACTTCATGGCTGAGTTGCTGTGCCCAGTTGCTTCCACTTCATTAGAATACCACTAACAGTTGACCGTGGAATATTTAATAGCAAGGAAATTTCATGAATGGACTTATTGCACAGGTGGCAACCTATCACGGTACCACGCTTAAATTCACTGAGCTCCTGAGAGTGACCCATTCTTTCATGTTTGTAGAAGCAGTCTGCATGCCTAGGTGCTTGATTCTATACACCTGTGGCCATGGAGATGATTGGAACAACTCAATCCAATGATTTGGAGGGGTGTCCTAATACTTTTGGCAATATAGTGTATGTGCAGCGGTTAAGGTAAGAAATTTTCAGTAACTGTTCCTGAACCACCCCCTCCAAAAATATTTCCCTCAGTCCTGTATCCATTGGTTCCTGCTGCTGACAGTCAAATCCTGCAACAAGGAAGCAGGGCCGAACCATGCTCTGTGTGTCTCTGAAAAGAAGGTGGAGCAGAGAGCGGCAGTGGGGGACCCCAGAAGAGGAGGTAAGGGGCAGCTCTGTGCAATACTTTTGCATTAAAAAAACCCCAAAAAACAAAAAAAAAAAACCACTGACTTTACAAACGCTTTAAAATCCTACTAGTAAATACAGTTGTGCTCAAGTTTTCATACCCTGGCAGAAATCATGAAATTTTGGCATTGATACTGAAAATATGACTGATCATGCCAAGTTGTTTGGCTCCTTTTTAAATCATATTGATAACAGAAGTCACCCAACTTGCCCTGATCAAAAGTTTACATACTCTGGAATGTTTGGCCTTGGTACAGACACACACTGTGACACACAGGTTAAAAGGGCACTTAAAATGTTAATTTCCCACATTTGTGGCTTTTTAAAATGCAATTACTGTCTGTGTATAAAAAGCTAATGAATGTGTTAGCTCTCATGTGGATGCACTGAGCAGGTTAGATACTGAGCCACGGGGAGCAGAAAAGAATGGTCAAAAGACCTATGTAAGGTAATGGAAGATTGTAACAAGATAATGGAAGGTTTATAAAGATGGAAAAGGATAGAAAAAGATATCCAAAGCCTTGAATATATGTCAGTCAGTACTTTTTAATCACTTGTTAAGTGGAAAATTCTGGCATCTCTTAATACCAAGCCAAGTACAGGTAGACCAAGAAAGATTGCAGCCACAACTGCCAGAAGAATTGTTCGGGATACATATAAAAACCCACAAGTAACCTCAGGAAAAATACAGACTGCTCTGGAAAAAGATGATGTGGTTGTTTCAAGGAGCACAACATGATATTTAAACAAAAATGAGCTGCATGGTCGAGTTGCCAGAAAAGAAGGCTTTTCTGCACGAATGTCACAAAAAAGCACGGTTACAATAACATGCCAGACAACACCTTGACATGCCTCACAGCTTTTGGCACACTAATCTGGAGTGAGAAAACCAAAATAGAGCTTTATGGTCACAATCATAAGCGCTATGTTTGTAGAGAGGTCAATCAGGCCTGTAGTGACAAGAATACCATCCCCACTGTGAAGCATGGTGGTGGCTCACTGATGTTTTGGGGGTATGCAAACTCTAAAAAGCACAAGAAAATGTGATAATTAAATGGCATTATGAAAGCAGCATGTTATCAGAAAGTACTGACAGACAACTTGCGTTCTTCTGCACAAAGCTGCGCTTAAGATGCATTTGGACTTTACAGCACGACAATGACCCTAAGCACAAAGCCAAGTTGATCCTCCAGTGGTTACAGCAGAAAAAGGTAAAGGTTCTGGAGTGCCCATCACAGTCTCCTGAACTTATTATTCTGGGGAGATCTCAAATGTGTGGTTCATGATAGATGACCAAAGACTGTGTGACCTGGAGGCATTTTGCCAAGACAAATGGGCAGCTATACCACCTGCAAGAATTCAGGGCCTCAGACAACTATTGTTACAGAACTAAGGGGCTCATTTAATTTGTTTACTTGTTGCTATGTTTTGTTTTATGACTGTGCCATTCCGTTATGACCTACAGCTAATTATGAATCCTATAAGAAATAAATGTGTTTTGCCTGCTCTCTCATGTTTTCTTTTTAAAAATGGTACATACTGTATACCAATTCTTCAAGGGTATGCAAACTTTTGAGCACAGCTGTATACACAAAGCTGATCCTGATTAACTCTTAGTGCTGCTCTTTCCTCTCCAAGGTTGTGTGCCGCTGTGCAAGGGATAACAGGAGGAGGATATAAAGACAGATTCAGGTACTTCTGATAGTTGTAATAATAATTTCTAAAAGAACATAATTTTAAAAGAATGCACAACTATATGAAATAGTATTACTTTTTGTATTTGCTTCAACTTTAATACAGCTAGTTCTACCTACAACTGTAGTAATCTAATAATAAAAAAGGATTTCAAAACATACAGTATTTTTGGCAGGAACAATCAAACATACAGCACGATTTTTCTCATTACCTTTCTCCTGTTTCCACGACCTTTGGGACGTTCATAGTCAATACGAACTGGATCATGAACTAAAACACAGAATTAAAATGTAAGAAGAGTAATTTCCCCTAATAAGGCATGTCTGAAACACTATAAAAAAGGAAAGAAAAAGCAAAACAGATTATTTCCGATTTGAATTACTATTGACCAACATTCAGTGGATTTCTGATGATTCAACTATTTGTGTATGTAACGTTTTGTTCATACCACAACCAACGCGCTTTATGCACATTGTTATGCACTGACTGTTGTCCATCAACACGTGAAAAAAATAATGCATTGTGGTATACTATAGGCTTTGCATGTGTGGGTTGGGTTATGCAAATAAGAATTGTAAAAGCACATATACAGCGTATTACTGTGAGTTGTGCTAGCATTCATTACCTGATGGGTTGTGAAAGAGCCCAGAATTTCAGCTTGATTTTTAGTTACACAAAGAACAATGTAAAATATGCCAAAGACCCTAACACCCAATCAGGCTCAAAAGAAGAGCAATTTTTTAAATTGTAACAGCGGGTGCAGGGAGAAGATCCCCAGCCTGCTGTCACAATGAGAAGGGGGGTCAGGGAGAGGCTGCAGGAGTGGGAACAATGTTACATATTTCACCCTAAAAATGGATGGAACATGTTCCTAAAGGCGAACTTAGTCTTTAGTATGATTTTTACTTTGAAATGTAAATTGTTATATTTTTTAGGTCAAGAAAAGGGAAAATGCAAGAAAGACAAATGCTGTTGGGAGCATTTTGTTAATAAGAAAACAGTTTAAAACAGTAAAGTCAGCCAGACTACAGATGCAAAACTAAAGATGGAAACATAGTCTTACCCTGTGGCTCATCCACAAGACACACCCTTTTTGCTGGAAGCATGCCAACCTTGAGCTTTGCTACCCTCTTACGAAGAATGGGAGGCCTAGAAGGAGTGGGCATTTGGCTAAATGCAGCTACTGAAGTGTTGTCTGCGGCAGAAGCCTCGGCACCCATTTCAACATCTTCATCACCTGTCTTGACGCTCCCCTGTTCATCTACATCAGATGTTACTTCCTGTTGCTCTTGCTTGAATTCTTCCAACTTACTTTTGTAATATTTATATGCCGGGCTATCTTTTTCACGTAAAAACCTTGATGTGGAAACAAAAATTTTAGGTCCAAGTGATGTTTTGCATCCATACAATCTATTTAAATTGTTGAGAAATTTTTTATTGTCATACCAAAAGTCAGGGTTATTTACGCTGTTTTGCATGCTAAATTCCTCAATCTCAGGACCCATCTGAACAACAAACTGAGCCAATTTTATTGCAGTATCCTTCGTCTTCTCATCAACTGTAAGTAAAAAAAAAAAGAAAAACAAACTCATAAGTCAATGTAAAAACGTATTTTCTTTTTCTACAGCAATATAATATTCAGTGGCCACTTATCCGTCCAGGCGCTGCACAAATTTAAATGGAATACTTGGATAATCAGGTGGTGGTGTGTACTGCACTTGGACATGTAACCGTGGTTTATCAAATATTCACGTCTAATAAGGGATAGTTGAATTAAACTTGTCCTGAGAGGTACAGAGACCATAAAGGGAGAGCTTTTCTTCTGATCTGAAAATTATTAGCATTATGGATATCATTCTGGTCCAATGACTCCAGCACTTTCTAAGTTACTGACCTCAAACTACCATGTAGAGTTACTGACCTCGAACCACCATGCTCTTACTTTCCTGATCTGCATGCCATTCTCAGTTGGTGTTTCAGATAGTAAGGATAATAAACTGAGCCTGGCAACTCGCATTTTCTGAAAATGGTCAGCAGTGGCAGCTTAAATATTTCTCTCATTACAAATCTCTGTTTAAAACGAGCTGCAGTAAAACGCCTCTGCAGTCTGGTTTGGGCACAAAGGAATTTTATTACAGCAATGACGTAAGATGTACTACGGAGTTTGATACTCCCAATAATGAAGTGTGCTTGCCAGGGAGATGCTTGATGGAGTCAGAGGGAATTCAAAACTTCACTGAGCTTAATGCTGGCCCTGTTGATATACCCTCTTTTGTGCAGCTGCATACATTAACTGCATCTCTGAAACATTAGACCAGAGCTTCTTAAAATTTTGCCAAGGGTTCCTCCAAGGTAAAAAGATTAAGATCCCAGAGAACGCCAGAAAAAAATGTTCATATCTACAGCTCATTAAGATTGGTGTGATCAGAGAAATGATAATTATTTTTAGAAATGGCATTAAATAATAAAATAGCAAAGAATAACGTGAATCCTTTTTTTTTTCTTTTTTTTTTTCCGCACAGATGCTCAATTCTGGAGCGAACTTGAGATAAGCAGGGTACAGGACCTCAGCAGGTTAGAGTAAAGGAAGTCAGCAGGGCACATAATTACATGGAGACATGGCAGTGGCGATTTCCTTCTCATGCAAAGCGAAGCAGGGAAGCAGCTATGGTACTCGTGGCTCTAGCGCGTTATTCCTGGCTGGCTCACATACAAGCACCTAAGATGGACAGGAAGGGAGTTGGCCAAAAACAGTAGAGGAACTCCTTGCTTACTTGCACCGGTTTGCATAGAGGGCAAATGACATGAGAGTTTACGGAGTGGGGATGCGATCTACCCGTCAGCTGAATGAGAGGCTAATTGTGGCGGAACCCCAGGGCACCTCTCGCAGAACCCTGGTTGAGAAACCCTGCACTAGACAGCCTCTCGGATTGTGCGACACTACTATTAGGTTCTGCAGAAGGATTGCAAGTCTCTTGTGATCCTTGTGTTTACAGTACAAAAACCATACAGGTGTGTAAAATATGTAACCACTTTAAGACCAGGCCTATTCTGACACTTTTTGTTTACATGTAAAAATCAGCTTTTTGTGCTAAAAAAAAAAAAACAAAAAACAATTACTCAGAACACCCAAACGTGTGTGTGTGCGTTTTATTTTTATGCACAAGCCCTAGAGAATAAAATGGTGGCTTTTGCAATTTTAATGCACACAAACATATTATAAAATACCCAGTTTTTGGTAAACTATAAAAGATGGAGTCAAACTTTAAAATTGCGCATGCTCATGGAATGCACCAAACTACGACATTTACTGAATCTCCATAGGTACACTTTAAAACCTTTACAGATTGCCAATTTAGAGTTACACAGCAGGTCTGGTGCAGGTCTACAAACTTGTTCCTGACATCCTTTGACAGCTCTTTGGTAATCTTGCCTATGGTAGTTTTAATGGAATGAAGAGATTCTGTGGACAGGTGTCTTTTATACACACACGAGTTGTCCTTAGGAGCATCTTCTTAAATTGACAGGACTAATCTGTGTACCACATGAGCCAGAATTAGAGGTGGTTGGTCAAATACTTATTTTACTCAGTGAACTGCAACTTAATGTATAACATTTGTATTGTGTCTATTTTCTGGATTTTTGGTTGATATTTTGTCTATCATTTAAAATACACCTATGATAAAAAATTATAAACCCTTCATTTCTTTGTATGTGGGCAAACTTACAAAATCTACAGGGGATCAAATAAGTGTGTGTGTTTGTGTATTATTTATTTTTACACACAAGCCTTAGACAATAAAATGGTGGCTTTTTCAATTTTAATGCACACAAGCACATTACAAAATACCCAGTTTTTAGTAAAATATAAAAGATGGTGTCAAACTTTAAAATTGCGCATGCTCGTGGAATGCACCAAACTACAACATTTACAAAATCTCCATAGGAACACTTTAAAACCTTTACAGGTTGCCAATTTAGAGTTACACAGCATGTCTGGTGCTAGAATAATTGCTCTCACTCTGGCGTTCGAAGCAATACCTCATATGGGTGGTTCAATTGCCGCTTACGTATGCATGCGGGACAAATGTGCAAGTTCGCCTTTGCACATGAGCTTTAAATTTTATTTTAACACTTTTTTTTTTGCTGTCACAAGGAAAGTAAACATCCCTTGTAATAACAATAAGCAGTGACAGGCACTCTTTATGGAGAGATCTGGGGTCTATTAATCAGATACTTTCACCATTTTAAAAATGGCGACATCGGAAGTGACAAAATACTTGTTGCTTCTGGTTTCTTATAACAATAGAGAATGTCCCCGCTCACCTCTATGGTAAGCTGGTGGAACCACCGGCTTTTGTTGCCCTGCTTCCCGCTGGAGAGCCTGAAGAGGCACTGGAGAGCAGCAGGGGGCCCCTTTGCCACCTGTAAAAGCAATCTAGCCGCTAGGATTGCTGTTGCAAAAACAGCATCTCGTTACCACTTTAAAAATGTTGACGATATGTGCATCAGGATCAGCAGACATTTGGGAATCCTATGCTGATTACTTTATGGTAACTCCTCATTTGGCGTCAACTATACATTTAATCAGTGGTGACCAAAGTCAAGACATGAACAGCTACTTACCATCTGAAACCTGTGATTCTTTAGTTTCCTCAGCTTTTACATCTGATGACTGATCCTTTTTCAGTTTACTGGTGGTGCCTGAAGAACTTTTGCATGGTACCTCTTGTCCCTTTGGTTCTACTTTGCTAGAAGAATTCTTTCCTGAAGCATCCTGTACTGGTTTGACAGTCTGTTTTTTCACTGCTGGGGTCACATTTGCTTTCTTGACCGCTGAAGTGGCCGCCGCCTCCTTCTTGACTGCCCGAGTGGCCACCGCCTCCTTCTTGACTGCCCGAGTGGCCACCGCCTCCTTCTTGGCCGCCGCCTCCTTCTTGGCTGCTGCCTCCTTCTTGGCTGCCGGAGTGGCCGCCGCTGTCTCCTTCTTGATCACTGCCTCCTTCTTGACTGCCAGAGTGGCGGCCGCCTCCTTCTTTACCACTGGAGTGTCTGCTGGCACCTCCTCCTTGGCCGCTGGGTGGCCGCCACCTCCTCCTTGGCCGCTGGGGTGGCCGCCACCTCCTCCTTGGCCGCTGGGGTGGCCGCCACCTCCTCCTTGGCCGCTGGGGTGGCCGCCACCTCCTCCTTGGCCGCTGGGGTGGCCGCCACCTCCTCCTTGGCCGCTGGGGTGGCCGCCACCTCCTCGACATCCTCCTCCTTCCTGACTGCCGCCTCCTCCTCCTCCTTGATCGGAGTGGCCTCCGCCTCCTTAACTGCAGGGGTTACATTATCTTTCTTTATCTCCTGGGTTACAGTCTCTTTTTTGATGTCCTGATTTACATTCTGTCCCACCTTCTGGCTCACCTTCCTTATCTTTCTGCGGGCCTTCATAGTTTTGGACAGGCGGCACACAGGTTTTATTCCTTTCCGCTTTCTTGATAAAGCCAAACTACCAAAAAGCTTCCTCTTCACCTGCAGTGCCTTTTTGGCATACAGCATTGCCCTCACGGCCTCTACAGTCAGCTCTTCAGATTTCTTTGCTTTTGTGGTTTGAGTATTCTTTACATCCAAGTGATCTGTGGATTTATAGAACTGTTCTAGCTTTTGGTGATAATATTTATACTCACTGCTTTTTTTATCAAATAAGAACCTTAAAATGGAAAGACATATACAGTGTTAGCCATACAACTGCAAAGTTCCCTACCCAAAAAGAATATAAATTATGTAACATTTCATTCATTCTTTTCTAATTTAGTTGGAAACATTTTACAGTTTAATAACACCTTTATTTTCTCATGGGAGGTAGTGCCCAAACAACAAACAATTACAAAATTCGGTATGCTTGGCTAAAATCATGTTCTGACAAAAACTGCTAAAACAAACCTCATAGTAACTGAAGAATTTCAGATGAAATCAAAGTCTGCACTTTTGCTTGGTATCAGGTATTTAAATTGGATAAGAAATTATTGCTGAATTAACGATTATTCACACTTTGGACAAAAAATCATCCATAATGCACTTTTAGCAGTTTAGTGTACAACACTTTTGAATATCACTACTGCAAATATAAATGGTTATCTTTTCCATCCTTGTTTTCTATCATCATTAAAGAGGACCCAACAACAACATGCAGTTTATGACAGGTTTATATTGGTATAAACAACACTATACCCCAGGCTCTTCTTACAAGACACACTGTTTGGCTGACCTTTCTTGTTACGTAGAGCAAAAGTCTGCAAACTTCCCAAACAAAGGGCCAGTTTACGGTCCTTCAGGCTTTGGGGGGGCCGGACTTTGGGCAGTAGAAAATGCCCCAACATCAGTGAGAGCAAACAATGCTATATCATTGGTTTTAGTGGGAGGACTAGTGACTGGCTGGCATCAGTGGGGGGGGGGGGGGGGGGGGGGGGGGGGGATAGCGTGCCATCCTATGTGTCAGTGGAATAAACGGTGCAGCATCATGTGTGTCTGTGGAAGGGATAATGCCCCAAGGGCCAGATGAAGGATGGCAAAGGGTCACATCCAGACCCCAAGCTGCAATTTGGAGACCACTGATGTAGAGATTTGGCTACTCACAAGAAGTTGGGAGCGCATTTATAAAGCAGTGAAAATGACATCACTCACTGTAGGTGAATTTTTTAGGTGCATATTTTAAAAGGAAGTAATTCATTCACCACTATGGATGGCTTGATTTTCGACTGGAATGTCTGCACCCACCGCAATATGACAGGTCTGACAGTTGACAGTCACATGTAAACAATTGGGCAGAGCGAACGGCGATGTTGGCAGACACCATCCCAATGCTGAGGGCATTTTTTTTTTAAATGTATGAATGCATACCCCCTATGACTATGTGCAAGAGCACGAAACGCGCAAGCGAGGAGCTACAGCGCCCTGTTGTCACGCCGCCACTGGTGGCCATCTTGGACACACATGGTCAGTCTGTTTTTTTCTGTCACTGTACCCTGATTTGGGAATAAACATTCCTCTGATCAAACAGTATCATGCTATGTGGCATCCTTTTTTGGGCTCTCTGTGAGTCTCACCATTCACAGAGCCTATCTTAGAGGAAACCTGACGTTACTGTTACTAATTGGAGGACCCTGAAGGGAACAGGAACTTGGCTATCTCCAGAGTGGATGATCTGGCTGACCTGATGAGACAGTTATATCTCAAATGCATGATTATATTGCGCATCTGGTGAGTGCGCAATTTACCTAAATATCGGTCACACCATCTACCACTCCGGATTAAGGAATTGGAACACCTTTTTGGAGATCCCCTGCGATCCTCACGTTCAATAATTTGGACATTCACTTATCGCCCTAACCACTTTCTGTGGTTTTTATTGAGCACTTTAGTGTGTTTACATATGTTATAACACTCATGTCACTTTATTTCATATCATCAGCACTTTATATGGTTCTATTCGAATACGTTGTTGTTCGTATTAAGCACCTTTGTACATATATTATTAGCGCTGCACCCAATTTTACGTATTTAAGGCTGCACAAACACTTACCAAAATGCAGGCTTTTCTCCTTCTGCTTCATCGCCTTTTTTTGCATATTCCAGAAGCTCATCTATTGTAGCAACAACATTCGGGTCAGCAGGTGTGCTTTCTGTAAAATAAAGAAAAGTCAGTACCAAAAAAGAAACAGCTCATCCATCTCACAGAGCCACAAATGGACGGAAAAGACCACCTATCACAGGTCTTAAAGACTTAAGGTTTTACACCTTAATGCATTCTATGCATTAAAGGTGAAAAACCTTCTGTGCCGAGGCCCCTTTTTTTTTTTTTTTTTTTTTAAATATACCCGAGCCCGCGATGTGCAAAAGAGCTCTAGCCTGCTGTCTCCCGCCTCATTGGGTGGATTGATAGCAGCAGGAGATAGCATTGCACAGAGCAGGTTCCTATAGACATGTTTGTTATTTTAGTAAAAAAATAAAAAAATTACACAGCTACCAGTCAAACTCCCAGCTATTAATATCAAAGCTGAGCTTAAAAGCTGGATAGAAGCCACTACAATAGCAAGACAGGCAATCTGGACAGATGGAAGAAGACATGGTAACAATTTCCTGTCCTGCTATTGAGACTTTTATCCAAACTTTAAGCTCAGCTTTGATCACACAAAAATTACTTTCCAGAGTAGATGCTTGATTTAACTTTGTTGGAACTTGACACAATCTGCTTTTCTTTAAGGAGTGATATTTCATCAACACCAAAATTTGGTGAACTTGCCACACCTGACTGCTTTTATGTTATGCAGTTCTATGCATGCCATTTAGTATCCTTCTTAACCATTGGTTTAGAATTAAAAAGTGAAGTGCCCAAATTAAAAAAATAACCTGTGTGTGCAAAATATTTCGGTTTCATTTTTTTTTATATAGTTTTCAAAATGTATCATAAGTATATATTGTGGCTTTCCTTCATACATGGCCAATTGTTTTTAATCAGCTTTGTGGATGAGGTGAAAATGATAAGAAAAGAAAAAAAAAACCTGGACAAATATTGCTATATAAAATTTTCAACTTTCATTTTTATTATATAAGATTTTCTATTTGTGTCCCCTTTTGATGTGCAAGTATGGTATACAATGCGATTTAGTTATTTTTTTGAGTATTGAAATATTTGGGGTATGAATTAAAAAGGGAATTAATCTGGCCTCCCATTTAACTATAAAAATTCTACAATTACAAATGGCATTGTAGACCTTTCAAAGAAGTCATCCTGCTGATCAACTTCATCTGATTGGAGGGTTGGCGTGAACCACTAAATAAATTTACAAAGTTGCATAAATTCAATTTCTCACATGACAATATATAGCAACAATATATTTTATTAAGATCATTTTATTGTCATAATCAGTCCTTAAAAAGGCAGCTGCACTTTAGGTATAAGTTGTCTTTTAATGAATGAAGTAAACCCACTGAGTGCAGCCCAACTGGTCTTATACCCACCCTTGTTTTAGATCTTTACAGCGTGGCCCTACCGGACGCAGCACATCCATGTTTCACGTCCTCGTCAGGTTCCTTTCAGACTGCACATGATCATAATGTCTATATTCATTCCTATTGAAAGCCATACTCCAGCAGTCCTGCAGAGAATGGCTCTCTCTAAAGAAATGAATGGGGCCGTGATGTTGCACATTCAGGTGGACCCAGCAAGGAGGTTTTGTTAAGCAAGGCTGTGCCTCTCCTGACAGGACAGCGCAGTAAAGATTGAAGGGTTGAAAATGAAACCAGGCGGGCTGATGCATTTATTAAAAGTAGAACAAGTACGAAAAAGGTACAATTGTCATTTAAGTTCCAGGCAAGGAAGATGATGTCATAATTCTGGTGCAGGAGGGACAAAGCTATTCTGCAGTTCCTTTTTAACCCACAAACTCAGACAACAAAACTGCAGCAGCCTCAGTTAACAAGGTAATCTGTGTCAGATATTTGTATGCACAATCAATCAAATGCACAGACATCAGGATTTACATACATCATTTCTGAGCTGGCAACTTAGTCTAGGAAACAGATAAAGTCCCAGATGGTGTTTGAACAAAGATGGCATTATTATAGAAAACAGTGAATATAGGCACTGCCAAGGAAAGTACTGTGATCTCTACAGGAAGAAACACCTGTTAAGTGATACAAAAACAAAAAACCTAGCATTCGTACCATGTTAGGGCTTCATTTTCAATTTTTTCCCCAGTTTTGGTGGAAAAAAAAAAAAAAAAAAAAGTATTAGTACAAAACCAACCTTCAATTTCTTCTCTGACAACTGTGGCTTCCTTGGGTACTGTGGCTTTAGATTTCAGTGTTAACTTGCGTCCACTTTTTTTGAGCCAATCTTTCAGTTTTGTAATAAATTCCTTCCCAAACAGAAAAGAGTCGCTGAAATTGGGATACTCTGAGGGCTTTAACTCTGCTTCACTGATCCCCAGGACTTCCATGACATTGTTTTGTCTGAGAGAAGTGACTAATGCAAATGTCTGCCCCAAAAGCACCAAGGATTTCCTGGCCAAAAACATGGTGTTGTCCAGAGCACCAAGTAGTTGTTTTGGATCCGTGAGAATAGGATACTTTAGTTCAAATGTATTACAGGATAACAGCAATGGAGTTACACACTTCAGCAATCGCTGCTGTAAAATCATCATTTCCTTGTCGAATGGCTTGATTGCGTCAAAGAAATCATTCTTAGCAGCCACGGTTTTTGTTGCCACTAAAAAATCCAAAAGATCATTATCTATTTTTGGACTAAACAAGGCTGGATGAGGTATAGGTTTTAGACTGGAAAAACAAAGCTCTGTGTGATGGGCAGATAGGCGACCTTTAAAACAGTTAACAATTATTTTACAAACTTCAGTCTTCACCTTGAAAAGGACTTTGTGTTGTTTCAAAAGGTCAGGATCATCTTTAACATTGTGGAACCTGGCCCATGTTACAATCTGCTCACTTAACTCATTGTCTCCAGCTAGTATGACTTTTCTTTGAGGGTTATGTTTTCTACCGGAGGATTCCCCAGCTTTAGCTGCAAGTCTGCCAGTACCGAAACGCTGCCCTCCTTGCCCTTTTCCTGACATCTGCATTACTCCACGTGCTTGCTTAACTGATCTAGGACCAAGCTCTAAACCTTGGGAGTGCTGGAATTCTCTATATGAATCTGACTTGCCCATGCTGAGCTCTGGGCCAGATAAAGAACTACGTTCAAATTCCCATTTCCTGCGATTAAGATCCAAATTTCGGGTTAACATTTCTTCTCTGTATAACCTTTCCTTTAAAAGCGGATCAACAGAACCCCATCTGTTCAACAATGGATCTGAAAGTAAGCCACCAGAGGATTTCCCTTCTAATTCACGAAAATATAAAGGATTTGAACCACTGTCTCTTCTCCTGTCGGTATCCCACGTTCTGCTCAAAGGCTCATGTGAAGAATCGCGAAAGGAAAGTCTTTCTTGGTCTCTAAAATGCGGATCATATTTGTCCATTTTTGATTGTCCTGTTGAAATAAACATAATGTACAGTTTAAAACAAAATTATACAGGCATATCATCCAACTCTTTTCACATCTGCATAAAGCAGCATTCACACTTCAGCTGAGCGTTTTTGGTCGTTTGGCAGGACTAAACGTTTTTTTTTTTTTAAATTTGTATAGGCGTTTTTGTGCATTTCTGAAGGCATCCGAGACTTAAAAGGGGCTTTTGTTTTTATATTTCTAGGCAACAGAAAGCCAAATACAAGAAAAATGCACTATATTTGCATTGTCATGTTTTTCATGAACTCCCATTGATGTCTAATGGGACCAAGAACACTTGAAGTTTGCAGCTTGAAACAGTGCATGAGCTGCAAGCGTCAAGTGACACCAAGCTCAGGTGTGAGCAGACGCAACTGAAAATCATGGGTGTTTGGACGTTGCATGTTTTGGAACTTCGAGCTAAAAAACGCTCAGGTGTGAACTCTAGAGAACAACAAAATGATACTTCTATTTAAAGCGGTATTAAACCCAAAATGTAATAATTCAGCTTCCTAATCCTTAGATGTGGTGGCTGCATTTTCTTTTTCCTTTGTAAGGCATTTTCCCCCTTTATTTCACCTGGTGATCTGGCCAGTAACAAAGTTCCTGTCTTAAGGTGTTTGAATTCTGGATGAAGTAGTAAAGCAGACACCTTTGGATAGCAGCATTGTCACATGTGGGAGGAGGAAGTGTTAAACTAGCAGCTTAAAGTGATAATAAAGTTTTGTTTTTCTTAATAAAGAACATGCATGTCATACTTACCTGCTCTGTGTAGTGGTTTTCCACAGAGCAGCCTGGATCCTCCTATTCTCAAGTTTCCCGATGGCACTCTTGGCCCCTCCTTCCTGTCGGGTGCCCCCTACAGCAAGCAACTTGGTATGGGGGCACCCGAGCAGGCGCACTGCCGAGCTGCAGTTCTGCGTGTCCATTCACACACACAGAACCGCGGCTCAGCCCTGCCCCCTCCTGATTGGCTCACTGGCTGTGATTGACAGCAGTGAGAACAAATGGTTCCCGCTGCGGCCTCAGCCAATTAGGAGGGAGAGTCCTTGAGGAACTTGTGGACATCGCTGGATTGGGATAGGCTCAGGTAAGTGTTGGGGGGGGGGGCTGCTACACACAGGTTTTTTAGAACGCATGAAAGTGAAAAACCTTGAGCCTTTACAACCACTTTAAGATGGACTCTACTAACAAGTTGAAGCTGCATGCCAGCTAACACATTCTAAGCAGTTACAGCAAACAGTTTTTTCTTTTCAGAAAAAAATATATAAATGAATAAAAGCTGGCCATTATAATCACCCCTATCATTGTCAAAAAGTTTGTCTCAATCCTCTGCTACTTTGGATAACTTGGTCTGGTAAAGCAGGTTGAAAAATAACAGACTTACTGGCTGAATCAGCTGGCAAAATAGAGGAATAAAGCCTAAAAAAGAAGTGAATATAGCCACCACATCCAAGAATTGTTAACCTGCAGTTTAATGCATGCTTTGTTTATTGAGGTTAGTACTTGCTTTAAGTAAGAATTCATCATACTCTGCAATAGCCATTTACACATTTTGAAGAACTGCTTGATAGAAGAATTGGTTATCCACACCATTTTTTGTGTATTTGACCACGGGTATTCTGAAGCTAACATGATATGAAGAAATACAAAAGAACAAAAACTGCTTATTTTGTAAGTTAGATGCTGAATGCAGTGCAGGCCAGTAGGAGGTCAGTTGTAGGTCAAATGCACCTGTCAGTGAACACTTAACTCTCCTGAAGAATGTTAGGTTTCCCCCAATGCTGGTCTGAAGGCCTAGGCACTTGGCCATGTGATCTCAGCTCAAGGGGATGATAAGTCAATCTGAACAGTGATACCACCTTCAGTAGAGATCACAAGTGCCCAGGCCTTTTATTTCTGCCATTTTTGAAGCCATTTATCCATGCTAGCAGGACTTCATCTAAAATTGCTACTTGAGTAGCTGTTAGCCTTGCCCTCAAGCAACATTTCTTTCCAAAGCACTGAGAGAACAAGTGGGCAGATCAGGCATGTCAAAAGTTAAGAAGCCTCCAGATTTCTTTCATAACGGGTATCTTCACAGCAAAACCCAGTGCAGTGAACTGGCCTACTAAAAATATTTTGTATGCTGTTTTGTAAAGGATTTGTGTCTATTTAATTTTGAATGTTTTAGGTTTTCATTATTACCATCCAGAACAAAAGGGTTAAAGAAATAATCGTATTTAATTTTTTAATGGATCAAGTAATTTCGGCCACCAAAACATTTCAGCCGAAAATAATGATTAATATATGTCACGCTCCCAACGCTTTGTTAAAATCAATAGCCGATAACAGCGTGCTCTGTGTATACTCATCGTCCACGAATGGTCTGTGACGTCGTAGCCCCTCCCCTACACGTTACACCGCAGGTCACGCGGCTTCATCACAACCCCCTGATGAAGCCGCGTGACCTGCGGCGTAACGCGTAGGGGAGGGGCTACGACGTCATAGACCATTCGTGGACAGCGCGTATACACAGAGCACGCTGTTATCGGCTATTGATTTTAACAAAGCGTTTTTAAATTATATTGAATATGAGTGCATTTGGGCACATAAAGTAATTTAACCTTAAAAGGATAAGGCACTATTTTTGCATTTCTCTCCCACTGAGGAACACCCAAGGAGGAAAACAAGAGTAGCAGCAGGAGAGAGAGAGCCCTGCGGGGATAGGAGTATGGGGAGCCAACTGAGAGATACCCACTACCCTTCATATGATGCAACACAGGTTTCAAAAGTTCCATAAGTGAACAAAAAGCGCAGTAAGCTTATCAGAAGCTTATAAGGAGGTGAGCGCACAACTTAAATCACATTAAGGAATCACCGGAAATGTATATTTTATTTGCATCACATCACTGGAGTCGTCACCTTATTTCAACAGAGACTTCTTTGCATTATTCAATTATTTTATATAGTAGTCACTATACATTTATTTGATCACATTGTTTTTGGATTATTATTTAGATTATGTTTTAGGGATTTATTGAGTTGAATTATATATATTATTTATATTTTCACTCAGATTGGGAGCGCGACATATATTAATAATTTTGTTGGTACTTATATACACATGAATAGAGGATGTGTTTGATGTCAGCACACCTGCATTGATTTTAATTAGTGGCTCACAAGTAACACAATTCTGGTATATATTTCGTCTGAAAATAGCCCTATCGGCATTTTGCCGATAAGAAAAATTTAGCAGATACAGGTGCCGATACAGGAAACTGTGTGTACTGCAGATGTGAAGGGGGGGGGGGGGGGGGGGGGGGGGGGGGGTGAAGGGACAGCTGAGAAAGGCAGGAGAGGATCAGTGTACACAGTGACTGCCTGCCACTATATCAGTGCCAGTATTTAAATGTAATGTGTTTGTTTTTTTTCCTTCACTACAGCTCACAGAATCAGCTGTCACTTTACCCCCAGCTAAAACAAAGTTTCCTCTTAGTTTATTTTCCGAGATAAAGGAAACAAAAAAAAGTTTCCTTTAGTTCTGGGGAAAGTGACAGCTAATTCTGTCAGCTATAGTAAAGGGAAAAAAAAAAGCCGTCAACTGCATTTAAAAACTGGCACGGACATATAGTGACAGCCAGTGAGGGAGCCTCTCTGTATACACAAAGAGGACCTGTCACTCATATGCTATCACATAGGGGACTATTGGTCCCCTATGTCAGGGGTGGGCAACTGTGGCCCTCCAGCTGTTGTAGAACTACAAGTCCCATGAGGCATTGCAAAACTGCCAGTTACAAGCATGACTCCCAAAGGCAGAGGCATGATGGGACTTGTAGTTCTCCAACAGCTGGAGGGCCATGGTTGCCCAACCCTGCCCTATGTGACAGCAATAAAATCATAAGTTAAAATAAGTAAAAATAACATGAAAGTAGAAAAAAAAAAAAAAAAAAAAAAAAAAAAAAAAAAAAAACTGAGCCTACCCACATTTCGGTTTTTGGCCACATGCATTCTGAATTTTCAATATCGGTATTATAATTTTCATTTCGGTGCACCACTAATATATAAAAACATTTTATTTTTAAAAACAAGTCTCTCACACGGTACTCACCTTCCATCTGAAACTCTCGTACAGTGTTAGCAACTGCTTGGTCCATGCTTATTCTATATCTCTTCATCTTCTCCTGTACTACAGCATCAAATGCATCCCGTGTAATTCTTTGGCCTGACATGTTTCTAACACTGCAAGTAAAAATGATTTAATTGGTTACATAAAGCACAAAATCCTGTTCTAAAATATTGTCAACTTGCAGGACTAAGTGTCTTAAAATAAAAAAACACAAAACAAAAACACACACAAAAAAACAAAAACACACACGATCAAAACAAGACGATGCAAAATGACAGACAAATAAGTATTTAAAGTGTTACTAAACCCACAACAGTAAAATCAGTCTGTATATGCAGTAAAACACTGTGGAACCTAAGCGGTTAATACTCTGCATTGCTGTTTGATCCTGTCTTCTCTGATCCTCTTATAATGTTCCCAATCCATCTGCTGATAGTACAGAGTTCTAGGAGTCACTCTGCATATGCTCAGTTTAGTGTGTATTGCTAAAGAGTTATTTGTTCTTTGGAAGAGTGCATGGGATCAGCACAGGTCCAATCAGCACTGTCCAGACAGAGGGTCAGGGGTTATGCAGCCTCTTAGGACAATCAGAGCAAAATGAAAACTTCTACAAGCTTTAAACCAGTGCTTGGCTGGACACTGATACAAGTCACAAGACTGATGATGAGAAAAGGTATTTAGCAGTTTATATTTACTACAATAATTGCATTTCCATGTTCTCTGTACTGTAGGAGCCCAGATATAATGAATGCAGGGTCCTGGGTTTAGTAACACTTTAATATAAGTATTTTATAAAAGAATTGCTGAATGATTGTGCAGTAAATCACTTCTTTACCTCTGCATTACCGCCTGTCAGCAACTCCCCTTTTAGAGATTTGTGGGTGTTCCCATTATGGAGCTCACGCAAAGCAGCAAGTTGCTACTGCCACCAGTTATTATACAGGATTTACATAGAGCCAAGTTTGCTCAGCGCTTTACAATATAAAAAGGGAGACAATACAGCAATGATACAGTTCAATACAAGAGGGTTAGGTGGGCCCTGCTCCTTGGAACTTACAGTTCTATGAATGTGCATGGCAGGTTAGTCCTGTGCTGCAGGCAGTCTTGTGTAAGCATTCCAATGGGAACAGGAGACTCATGTTGACTCAACCCATCCCACTGAATTAGTATTCACTGCACATTCCCATTGTGGAGCCAAGGCAGAGCTCACAGGCTAACTCCCCTTCTCCTGTGAGTGCACCTGAGCTCAGTATTATTTATATTTTAAAGGCATGCTCTCTGAACACACCTCTCACCTTTTACAGGACTGCTGGTCTTGGGAAGTGCCTAGTGCTGGAAATCGGTGCTGTAGTTAGTTAGACCTCTCCTACTGAGCAAAATGTTCAGGATGAAATACTACATGCACTTCATCCCTAGGGGAGCAAGAGGAACATAAAAACTGTATGGTAAGGTTTCTTCATTAACTACACAAAGATTTGGCTTGACTTCCAGAGCAATATTATCCATCTGATGTCAACACAATTACCCCGAGACAGATGGGATTCTGCCACCACGTTTACCCTTTCTAATCCATCCACTGCCTTTCACTCATGCCTAGGCGCAAGGGTCAAAAACCTTGTTAGGTGTAATGAAAGATTTTTACATGTGGGGGGAGGATGTCTAAAGAATCAGTGGACCTAGCATTATGGCGAGTCTGGGGGAGAGGGGGGGGGACGACACCGTGTTCAGTTGGTCTTGCTCTTCAATGGTCAAATGTAATTGTGAGCTTTTGCCTGTGAAACTAATTATTCAAGTTATTTTGTACTTATTGGGAGGAGCTCTCTCCTGTTTGTTACTGCCTTACACCTCCTGCAGCCAATTTGATGGATTATCGGAAATCCTGGTTTAACTGTTTTATACAGGATCTGGATCCCAGGTTCTGTACAATTGATTTCTAGGCGATTAGCCGGCTGAATTGTTCCCGAAGCCGATCCATGCTCCCCTGCAATCCCCCAAGACACAAATTGTGTCTCCAGATCCTACTAGCACTCTTCGGGTGCTTCTTTTTACCCCTCTGTTTTGGAGGAGTGTTTTTTTTTTCCTTCACCCCCTCATTCTGGGGATGTTTTATTTTACCCCCACCCCCCTTTCTTCCTTCACTTCTCCCCCCCTTTCGGTCCTCGGAGAGCTGTGCTCCTGGCTTACCTGTTCATTATAAGTATCTTACCCTCCCAATATGGCTCTTAATTTACTCACACTGAATGTCCAAGGACTCAATTCTCCCTAAAAACAGGTCAAGGTCTTCATGTTTTTACACTCTCAAAAAAGGTGTATGTTGCATGTCTTCGGGAAACTCATTTTTCCACAGCTTCACCCATCTCATACTTTAGCTGACGCTGCCTTCAAGTCTTCGAGTCCATAGCACCAACGAAGCAGTGCTCATTGCATTCTGCAAGCATTCTCCTTTGCTAAGCAAATTGCAGACCCCCAAGGACAGTACATGCTCCTTCAGGGCCAACTTCAGGATACGGAAGTTAAGATCCTTACTTATGCTCCTAATAGATCTCAATTCTTTTTCCACCTGCCAGCCCTACTGGAGCACCACAGGAAAAGCAGTCCTTTGTGGCGACTCCAACCTTACTCTCAATCCAAAGTTAGACAGGTCCCCTGTAGATACGGCTTTCTCCCAACCACGAGCACCTGACGCCCACCGATTCAAAACGCTGCTTGCCCAACATTCCCTAGTGGATGCCTGGCGTGAAACACACCCCCTATACAAAAACTTTACGTTCTGTTCTCACCCCATAATACATACACCAGGATTGACCATATTTTTGTCCCACAACCCTTTTTGCCCACTGTAGCCCATGTTGACATCTTATCTGTCCCTTGGACTGACCATGACCCTGTCTACCTTACCTGTTCCTCTCCAGTCCTGAAACATTCCTGCTCCTCTTGGTTGCTGAATGATTCAGTGTTGTCATCCTCAGAGATTATGACTCAACTACGAGATAAGGCCAAGGAATTTTTTTTAATCTCAACACTGGCTCAGTAGACTCAGCCTCCACCATTTTGGAAGCCCTTAAAGCTGTCCTCTGAGGCCACCTAATTCAATTGGCATCTCATAGGAAAACAGAATGTAAGCAACTTCTGCTTAGATTAGAAAAAGAATTGTCAGAGAGGACTGCCCTAGTTAAATCTCACCCCACAAAAACGAACTTGCACGCCTTCGAAAAAATTGATGCTAATCTCGACATGTTACTCATGAACCAAGCTGGTCTAAACAACGCTTTTCCAGCGAAGGCAATAAGCCTGACAACCCACTGGCGAACCGGCTGCGTTGCTTCAATCCAGTCCACCCCCCCTATAAGCCTACGCACAAGTAGTAGTGTAGGCACTAGTAACCCCCTAAAAATAGTGGAAGAATTCAAGGAGCAGTTAGCTACACTATATTCTGGTCCAGCTCCCTTCGATGCTGCAGCGGCTGAGATTTTTTTCAAGAGGTTTGAGCTAACACGCATTTCGGATTCTCTGGCCTCCAGAATGGAAGTCCCAATCACTCCTGAGGAAGTCGAGGCTGCGATAAAAACTTAGAAAACTGCGAAAAGACAAGGCCCTGATGGCTTTTCAGTCATTTAATAAAATAAAATAATTGTGGATCTTCTCAGCCCTTCCCTGGTGGCTGTGTTTAATGAAATTAGAACCGCAGCATCGGTACCTCCCACTATGCTCCATGAGCAAGTAGTAATGCTTCCAAAACCCAACAAGGACCCTCACTCTTGGGGAAGTTACAGACCTATCTCACTCCTTAATGTTAAGCTTCTTACAAAAATTCTGGCCCACAGATTAAACTCTGGCTTTGGTTCTCCTATACATCGAGACCAAACCGGTTTTGTTCCCCAACCACAAGTTGGAGATAACATTAGGAAGCTCCTGAACCTGCTCCATACTGCACAGCATAAAAAGCAAGAACTCATGCTCCTTCCAACTGATATAGAAAAGGCTTTTGACACATTATTGTGGCCAAATCTCTTCCACACTCTCAAACGATGGGGATTCTGGGGATGCTTCCTAAACTGGCTCATGGCACTTTACTCAATTCCCTCTGCTTCTGTCTGATGCTCTGGATTTCAATCTCCCTGGTTCCCAATTAGACAAGGAACGAGACAAGGATGTCCCTTGTCTCCTAATTTGTTTATCCTTGCTCTCGGACCATTGGCAATAGTGATACATGCGGACATTAAAAGGAGTTGATAAATTACTATTCATGGAAAGCTATCGCTCTTTTCCAACGACATTCTTTTCAACATCACGTCCCTGCTGATCTCTGTTCCAAGTTTATTTCAGGTCCTCGCTGACTTTGCATCCTTCTCCGGCCTCAAAATTAACCAATCCAAGTCTCAGACCATGGATGTTTCTCTCTCCTCTTCTACTCTGGCATCCTTGCAATCTTCATTCCCCTTTACTTGAGCCACCAAGCTCCCCTATTTGGGGGTACACCTGACACCCTCTTACGATACTCTATATTGGGGAGTTATCCCCTTTTCAAATCTCTAGTCTCCCTTCTTCATTCTCGGTCTCAACTTCCTATTTCTTGGATATTTCCTGTCCAAGCTTCTCTACTACTTTGCTAAGCTCAAGCTTTGCCTGTCCATGTCCCGCCAATGGTACTGCGTGTCCTACAAAACAAAGTTCTTTCATTTATCTGGCATACCACCAGGCTCCATATTAACAGGTCTGTACTGTATACAAAAGTATCAGGGGGGATTGGAGACTCCATGCCTTCTTCATTATTATAAGGTTGCTCAATTGGCCCAGCTCACCAAATTCCACGCTACTACTGAAATCTCCATATGGACATGGTTGGACAAAAATTTACTGCAGTATCACGGCCTCTAAATCTCTACTATGGCTAACCCCCCCCAACACCAACCCAACCTTCTCTAACTCCTTCCTTGACCCATTCTCTTAAAGTTTAGGACTCTGTCAAATACTCTGGTGGCCTTCTACCTCCACCATCAGGGGAAATCTTTCATTACATCCAACTAAGACATTTTGTATACTTCCTCCTCTTAAACAAACCCGCTTCCTTCCCACTCACGTGGTTTGAGTAAATGCCATGCA